TAATGAGAGAAGAATAAAGTTTTCGGCATCCCCTACAGTTTAGGATAGCAGCAATATTTAGTGTGAATTTCTCCGCTCATCAAGCTAGCTACTCGAAACGATGACAGAAACTTGGGAGAGAAAAAGAAAGAGAAAGGAAAGATGGAGTTCTATAGCGTATCCCCATTGCCTGGTGGTCATGACATGTGGCTTCATTTACTTTCTGGAGTGGGTGGGGGTCTCTTTCTCTCTCTCTCTCTTAAAAAAATAAAAAGTATCTTTGGTTAAAGAAAAAATCAGGTTTATCGCCCTTCAAGTTTGCTAATGGAATTGCCTTCGAACCAAATTACAAGACATAATCCCTTGAAACTATAAAAAAAGAAAAATGTTACAGACAGAAGTGTCCCTTTCTTGGAATGTTTTATGTATTATGACAAAACTACTAGAGAGAAAGAGAGAGAGAGACACACACACACACCTGCCAAGGCCCAATTTGTTGGGTGCAGGCAGGTACAACTCTGCCGAGGAAGATGCAATTGCATTTGCTCTCTCAAACGACTGGATTTGGCCCAGTCTGCAGTGAGAAGTGCTTCCATTCAGTTTTCCATTCTGCTCACGTTAGCGGTTCTCTCCCCTCCCTCCTGCACTCTGGTTTCACAGCAGGAATTTGAACATCCACCTCTGAGGAGAGGCAACGTCCGCGCTTCCTTCTGCTTCCCGCACGAGAAGAATGCAAGACGAGATGATGGGGAAAGGCACCGCTTTTTCACTGTGCCAGCCATAAGCCACTCATAAAACTTCCAGTATCTAAACATTCGCCTCCCTTCTCAAGTTTCCATGCCGTTTACCCCACGCACACAAAGAACACCAACCCAACCCAACCACGCCAATCCCATTTCCTCTCCAAAGGACTCTGTGAGCAAAACAAGCTGGCGGTTATTATGTATGTGGCACTGACAGCATGCAAAGTTTTTGCTTCCTCTGCTGAAACAACCGCGTTTCCCCTGTGACTAACTGCGCCGACCTTTTTCCATACTACGCCTTTACACGGGTGAGGGAGGAGGTGTTGCTCAGCTCCCCCCTACCCACCAGAAAACACAGCTCTCGCACAGTGTTGCGCCATCAAACCAATTCGACGGCTGCACCGTGCTTCTCTTGCAATCACAGCGTCCCATCACCACAATCATCTGACGACCTACGGCTGGCAGATCAGCAGCTCCAGGATGGACAAGGTGAAAGGTGGCTCCTCCGACACACGCCGCACCCCTTCTCGCTGCCAGCCCGTGCTGCTGCAACAGTTCCGCTGCCAAACACCCCCCAAAATCAGATTTGAGCCCACGTGGGAGAGCAGGTCAGATGAGTACACAGGGAAAATACAATTAATACAAGTAAAACATTACTGCGATCAAGATTGCAACCTTCCACGCTTCGCCAGTCCTAGGCCAGGGGAGCGCATAAACAAGTAATTAACTTGAAGGGTTTAAGTCTGTTCTTTAGCAAAGCACTCAAGTGCATGATTAAGTCTCTGCTGAAGTCCTATCATTTTTTTATGGAGTTTAAATTCAGTCACTGCTTTCCCCCATTCTAACAGAGCACGCAATACAAATGAAAACATAAGCAACCAGAACAGTTTAATAAAATTCCACAACAAATAATTATAAAAGAAGGGAAAATCTACACCAGGGACAAAAAAAAAAAAAAAATGCAAACCAAGCATCCTGGCCCTGAGGACACCCAATTAACCTTCAGTGAGAGTGGAAGAGCAGGCGAGGAACCCTGCCCTGTCTGCGGCCGTGCTTTACCCAGCTAACACCGTCCATGCACACCAGTGTCCTTTATCCAGTGATGGGACTGAGAACTGCACTCACGCCTCTGCCACGGCTCCTCCAACAGCCCTGTTTCCAGAGAGCCATCTATCTGCGTTCTCCTTTAGGAAAACCAAACCCTTAACACGTAGCGTGGCCTTGGGTTCATCAAAAGGGCCCAATGATCATGACCTGGAGCACAAGTAGGTCTTGATCTCATATAAATGTGCTATCAAACAAAGTGATGGTGAGCTGGATCCTAGGGCACCAAGGTCCTTACCTGCCTTTGACCCAGCTCTCCTGACAGACCGTGACATTAGCTGCTGCTTGGTTTTGGCCTCTGAATGAATGTTTCTGGACTTATTCTGAAATGCAGATGTGACCCAGAGGGTAACTCCTACCCCTCAAGGCTGTAACCGCTCTCACAGAGCAGCCCCGCTCCCCGTAGGTTAGTAGCAGGATTTTCATCCTTGGGAGAATCTCGCTTCCCCTTCCTCCTGCAATTTTCACAAACACAGCAACCCTTCCGATGCCACTGATGAAGAGAAATAAAATTAACAACAATAACAACAATACTAAGAGGAAAAAAAAAAAACAAAACAAAAGGGAAAAAAAAAAACCACAAAGATTAAGGAATGCGTGTGCAATTAAAACCCAGAGTAAAATATAATAATAATAAAATAATAATCATAATCATAACAACCATACAATAAAATAACATTATCTTTCCTTTTCATGACACAAGCAGCATGACGCTCTCGCTCCCAAACTGGTGGGAGAGGAGGGGAATGCAACAGAGAGAGCAGGGCTTTATTTTCCTGCCTCAGACGAAAGGGGACATGTTGTCTTTCCAAAGGAAGGGGGGGGTAAGGTGCATAGGCTGCCGGGAGATTGCATCCTCATCTACAGTATATTGAGCTGGAATGAAGGAAAGGCAGAAGAAAACTGTGCAAGGGTTGCCCAGGAACCAGAGCTGGCAACCAGGGAGGTTATTTGGTGGTTTGCCAGAAGACAACAGCCTTGTTGAACAGCCTATGCATAGCGGGATCCCTTCTTCTTCCAGGCCAGCCAAGCACTTACCACAAGACAATGTATTTGTGCTTGTCTTTGTCAGCTTTTCCCACCTGAGAGAGCCTCCTTCCTCACTGCCACCCAGGGAACCCATCCCTCACCACCCTGCCGGCGAACCTGCTATTTTCCAGCATCTTGTGAAATACCTGAATACTTCATGCTCTAGTTACAGAGAAATGTAGAGTGGAACCGAGCAGCCATGTAGACTTCAGCTTTCATGGAAACATGGAAACGCTCTATCAAACTCTCTTCTCTCCTTCCTCCCCAGGCCACCCACAGGCATGGGTACTCTAGAGACAACTCCAAATACTGATGCACAGTGCAACTGCCGTTACCAGCGAAACTCCCCTCTGAACCAAACCCAACTGTAGGAAAGGCTCTCTTTAGAAAACTGTCGGAAAACCAGACGACCGCATAGTGTTCCTCGGCATGGAGGACCCCCAGGACCACCGTGCTCTCCGGTTCTGCCGCTGCAGGCAATTTTTCGGGGTGTAGGTGAGAAGGGAGGAGGGGAAGTGCGCGCTGTCACAGCTACGTTAGGGTGGGTAAGGCCTGATGTATTACAATCCTCTTATCACTTAAGAAACCTGAGTTTGACTCTCTCAACTGGATTTTCTCATGCTTGCTTTGGGACTCCAGCCCTTTCCCGACCCCTTCCTAACGACAAATGTAGTGAGAGGTGTTAGTAACGACGAGTGTTCCCCTCTTTCAGGGGATAAAGTTTTGTTCCCATTTCAGACACACAACCAGGACAACCTGGCAACGCGGGCGGACGCTATCGTCCCACTCCACCGAGAACGTTGGCAAACAGCAGAACGAGAACTCAGTTTCCAGGGAGGAAACCTGCTATTTCAACAGGATAGAAAGAGACCAGTCCACAAACGAATCCCCAGACCCTCTGGGAGTCACCCTGGGTCTCACAACCGACCCGGTCACTTCCAGCCCATCCAGTGCTTGACAAAACACCCAGCTATATGCACTTCCAACCCCGACGAGCCTCCCCAACACCTCGCCGAGTGAGCTAAGATTGACAACGTGGGAAAAAAACCCCACCACCACCAGCAGAAGAAGAAAATCGGCAATAACAACCCAAAAAAAAAAAAAAAAAAGGAAAAAGAGCTGAGAGTAAATTCCGACTAGCCTCAGTCAGTTTCTAGGAGTACCAGTGGAAGTAAACCCTTAAACCGCGTCTGTAGTTCGGTAAGGCACTACGAGGGAATGATGTAAAACTAAGACTGTGACAGTTGTAATGGCTGTGCCGAGGAACACACCACAGAGAGAAGGCAGCATCTGCACACACACGCACACACACACACGCACACACACACGTACATACCTGGACAATCACATTTGTTACATGCCTATGTTATATCACTTTTCTTTGTGCAATCACATTGAGGAATAGTCTATTGGTATCGTTGAAGTTCAACAGAAAATAGTAAAAAGGGCATATGACCTGTATAGTGCTACATTCTACCGGGGGCGGGGAGGGGGGGGCAGCTAAAATGTCTCCTCCTATACTAAAACGGCTAGGGATTGAAAAGGAAAATTTCCAAATTAAAAAAAAATGAAACGCAACTGAAATCCAACATACATTATTAAAGATCTCGTTTAGGAATAGCATTTCTCAGGGATTTATCCAGTGTGTTTAAGGAAAGGGAGAAATATCCCCACTGCTTCTGCTCTCGACCAGTGCTGCATGGCCTGTTTTGCCCAGGTGTGTTTAAGCGTAGCAGTGCTAGATCCGAATTTAGAGCACTGGGACAACATTTTCTCCTCCTCCCTCAACCTCCCTTACCCACTTTCAATTTCCAGAAAAAAGAACCCCAAAACCTTATGTATGCTTTGGGATACAAAACCCACTGCAAAGATGGGGTATAAACCCTTTGAAATGCTGGATAAATCCCTAATCCATATACCTATTGGATCAAAAACCTAATGGATTTCATTTTAGGTGTTCTGGACAACAAATTTCTAAATGTAGCTCACTATCGGATGAAAATAACCTTTAAAAGTCTGTTGGTGAAGTTCTTCAAAAGACAGGACCCGCTGGAGGGTCCTTCTGCTTCTCTCTCTCTCTCTAGTTTGGTGCAGAATGGTTGTTTTTTTGTGGTTTGTTTTATTTTTTTTTCTGTTCTTTTTTTCCATTTTCTTTTTTTTTTTTTAAATAAAAAGTGTAGAATTGGTTCTCCCCCTTCTTTCCTCTTTTTCGTTTCTTCCTTAAAGTCTCCTTTGTTCAAGTTTCACGCGAGCCTCCCATTGCATTGTTAGTTTGTCACGTTCTTCAGTACAAAAGCGGCCGCCTCGCTCCCCCGGGACGGGTGCGTCTCTCGCTCCTTATTCCAGTGTTTTAGATGTAAGGGTACTGGTTGACCTTGGTGGGGCTCAGTGGGTATCCAGTGTAGACTGTGGAGGCTGGAGAAGCACTGATATAGGTCTGATGGGCAAACTGAGCCTGGTACTGACTCGGGTGGATGGTGGGCGAGGGCAGAACCCGCGGGCCCATGCTGACGGGGACCTGGTGGACGATGCTGGCGGGGTAGGTGGTGTGCTGCACGGCGTGCCGCGCCGACCCTTGGGAGGCCACCAGGTGCGCGACGGTGCCCGTGGAGCCCAGGGCGGCGGGGGCGGTGTATGTGTAGAGGTGGGGTTGGGTGGGCAGGTGAGCAGCGGCAGCCGCAGCCAAGTGAGGATGAACCGTACCGTGGCTGGGACTATTGTGCGGGAAAGAGTACGGGGCCTGAGCTATCGTTGGAGTGATGTAGGCTTGCTGTCTCCGGTGACTCCCTGCGCGATCGGTCGTGATGTGCTGCTGGGCCTGGATAAAGACAGCAACAGTGATAAGCGGTTACAAGACAAGAGACGGCTCTCTACCTCGTCAGTGGTGCCCGGGAGCCTCCCTGTGACACCAGGACGGCCTCAGGAAGGTCCCTTGTGCTCCTCCTGACACCCTCAGCATCACCACCGCCTTCCCTGGGAAACGGATGACGGCAAAGGGTCCCTCCCAAGCCTACGAAGACCCTGTAGTTTCATACGTTCACCCAAATGGCCCCCAAAAGGATAACGGAGTCCCCCAGTTTGAGCCGCGACCTGCTGGCACAGCTACCAACCTCGGACGCCCGACTCCTAAGAACATCTTCCGCCAGTCCAGTCGCTCACACAACACGCGGCTTTTGTTGGTGAACTCTCTGCCGATGAAATGTGGTGCGCTGACAGCTTAGGGGAGTGAAGTTGCCTAACTACGCCTGGAGCAGGCAATTTATTTTTGCTCGGTTTGCGTCTTTGCGGTTATCATTTCCTTGGTTAGTAAAAATAACTACTTTATTTTTTAAAGATAAAACCCTCGGCTCGATCAGATCCTGAAGGTGCCTGGTACCCTCACGCAATCAGCTATAATTACTTGAGCACAGGCAACTTCTTGCAGCGGGACAGGAGCAATGTACTTTTTCAGGGATTTTCTAAGTTGTTTTTTTGCACTGCACAATAACATCAAGGAGTTTTCCCGGTCATTTGTAGTCAGAATATTAAATAACCAATAAAGCAGGAATTAGAAGGCAAGAAGGGCAATGCTCCGCGTTACTTCCTTCTATTCTTCCAAGCCCTCTCATCCTCTTTGTAAGCACTCCCTGCGCTGTCATTGTGGTCTGAAACGCGGCAGCCACACTCCTCCCCCACTCCTGGAAACAGCATCTCGCCCACTTCCTCCATTTTCACTCACTTTTGTTTTGAGTTTGTTTAAATTTTTAAATTTCAACTACCTTTCGAGGGGGAGGGGACATTCTTCTCCCCCAAATTAATTAAAAAAACCCACCCCAAACCCAAACAGTTCTGCTTATATCCAGCTCTGGATGCAAACCAGCACTGTCCTCTGAGCTCTCCAGACTTTCTCTTCTTGAAACGTTGGTAACTGTGCTGTAAATTCCCTACTCTCATTACCTCACCTCAGGGAAGAGAGAGGCCCCAGGAGCAGTACGTGAAAAGGGCATTATTTACTGAAGCTCCTGGGGAGCTCCCTGGGTGTTTTGATCACAGACTATGAAACATCTTGAGAACTGCACCCTGCCAAGCAACGGGATTTGCCCAGATCTCAGCCCAGGTTTCTCACGGGATGGATCAAACTCATTACAAGAGGTCACCTATATGCATAGGGACTCTGCTTCGCCTCGTCACATCTGACGGGGACTTCTCTCCCAGTCCCGCAGCTGGGCTGATGCACTCCCTTCGCTTGGAAGATACTCTCCCCATGGTTACCTACAGCTAAGGAGAACTCAGTCCTTCCCACTGCTCCACTCCTTTGTGTCTGAGCCACTGCACCTTCTCTCTCCCATTATTCGCACTGAAAATGTTAGATCATCTGACTTCAAAACACACGGAAAGAGCACCACCAGCCCACTCAGGAGTGGGATCTCCACTACCTCTGCTGCCTGAGCTGGAAGATCAAGGTCTGCAGCGAAGTTGAAACAAGTTGAGCAAACTCGACACGGGGCCCAACTATCATTAGACTGGGAAAGCCCACGCTGGAGGAGCAGTAGGCAACAGCTGGACGACGCACCACCAAAATCTGTCTCGGTTGACTTACCTGACTTAGATTAAGAGGCTGCTGCTGCTGGAAATGTGCTCCTGGTCGCTGCTGCCTATAGGCAACGGCTCCAGACGAGCTCCCTGAAGAGTGACCGCTGGTGGAGGTCACGGTGCTGGAGGACTTGGACTTGTAGGAGGATGAGTGGTGACTGGTGGTGACTGTGCCAGGAAAGGAAACACATTTGTAGCTTACATCACATTCTTTAATTGCTCACCCTACCTTTTCCTCACTGAATCTCCTCCAGAGTGCCTTTTGGGAGGAGACTTACAACAGAAGCAGGATAAGAAAATGGTTTCTCTTAATTAACAGAATACCTCAGCAGTGCTTCATACACATGGCCAGCCTGTTATCCTAGAGGCAGACAAGCAGACCCGATATCCGGACCCAAACCGGGCCCAGAGAAGGCTTTATAGATCCTTCAGAAGTGTGAGAAACTGTTCTGCCAGCAGAACTGTACGATGCAGGTACAAATCCCAAGGAGAGGAAGGAAAGTATAGTGTGCACAGCACAAAAAAGCCCTGGCTTGGCTGACCTCCGGGTGAGTAGGAAGGGAGGGAGAAGGAGCTAGTGGGGAGCTCACCCTCTGAGCCTTTGTGTTCACCAGCAGTGCGTCAAAAGAAAAGGACTGCCAAGTAGCTCAAAGCCAATTGCTTTGGGCCAGACTTCCACCATAAGCCCCTTTTCAACACATGGTACTATCTAGCATTGCGGAGGCTCTGGATGAGCAAACCTCATCAGTCCGTAATGAAGATCCTGGGGAAAATGTTCTTCCCAGAAACGTCAACAAGTTTGGATGAAAATGCACATGTGTTTTCAATCTCTTACCCGTTTTAAAGTAAACCTACAGAAAGGCAAGGCAGCAAAGGTTCACACTTGCATTTGGGAGCCTTTCATGTCAAATGTTGAGCTAAAGGCTGCATTCTGCTCTTGGGTTTGTACAGAAGTAACTGGGACCGACACTTGCCCCCGTGACTCCTGAGTGTACCAGGGCACATAAATAATGCAATACGGCACCCAAGAACAGATGTGTCACTCGAGAGAAGGGTAGGAGCATGGTTTCTTTGGAAAACAAAACAAACAAACAAACAAAATGAAACCGAACAATGAGATTCTTCCAAGATAAATCATTTATTTCTTACTAATTTTCTTGACGGAAGAGGTGCAATTTACCTGGTGCCAGGCTATCGCACTCTACCAACACCTCACTGGCCTGGGTTTTCAGTGGTGGCACGATGATCGTTCGGGGGTTCCCACTGCAGTGAGTCTCTGGAACCCCTTTGGTGTCGTAGGTGTTCCCATTATTCTGCCCTGCGCGATGCTGCACGGCGTAAGGGCTGTTGTTGCTGGAGGAATCGGAGTAGGGGGAGTCATGCACAGTGACACAGCTGATGACGTTCTTCCTTTGCTTGGACAAGGTGCTGAAACACAAGCACACAAGTGGAAAGAGTGAATGGGTGACGATCGACTTGGAAGCCACCAGAAGACTCTGCCTGCGGCAGACTAGCTCCATAAAGGCAAAGCACACCCTTCAGTCCTCCGCCAGAGAGAGGCTGCTTAAGCCAAATCCCAGGCTTCAAAACTCACTCGTTGCTATTCCAGGAAAGCCTTCATGGAGGTCAAGGAGTGAGTAAGACATTGTGGATAGATCTTACATTCACACTGCTTAGAATAGTGCTGAACCAGACTGCCAGATTTATTTTCAGACTGCTTTTTATATATGTGTGCAGTAGAAGCCCAGCAGTTATACTATGCTTTGTTGCAAGTCTCACCACCCCCACAAAAACGTGGCGGTTTCTCCCAGCCTTCCAGCAATGATTTAATAATAGATGCTACAACTTTTCATGCTTAAATCCCATGAATCTACAAAATACACTCCATTCTATTTACTTATACTGTACAATGGGCATATATTCTCAATAAACATTTGAAACTGAGGAACAAATAACGAAAAAATGAGCAAAGTATGTAATGCTTTGGGTTTTCTTTTCTTTCTCTGAATAGGCACTGGGTCTCCTCACTCTAGCGTGGATTATCAAGGTCCTGCTGCAGCTAATCTATCTATGACATCAAAAAAGTGATTAAAAAGGAACATCAACACTTCCAAGATTAGCGCGAGAAGTTCATTAGACTAGAGTGCACGAGTACGATTGGGATTTGCTCTTCTATTGTGTCTAATTATTCCTGATGGTTTCTCCTTCCTGTTATGAGCTTTTTTAGGTAGAAAAAAGAGAGAGCAAGAAAGAGAAGGGAGGAAGGGGGATGGTGAAGATTTGCTTAAATGGCTCACATCCTTGACAGTGCACAGACCTTGACTACAGAAAATAGCTGCTATGTTTCACTGATTGCATTATGTTGTTATGGCAACAGAAGTTTTTAAAATGATGAAAAGAAACGGTTAGCACATAAAATGCTAAGTAATTAGGCTTAATAGTGGAAACAGCCCCAACAGGAACAGAAATTCCACAGGGAAAAAGGAATCTATCTCTTAACTACTTGAGTGTGCACTTTAAAAAGAGAGAGATCCCTTTCCCATGAAGTCTCCTCTCAGTTCTCTCACTCTGGCCAGTCCAGTCCAGGGAACAGCTGATTAATCTGGTCTTAGTCTGTGATGGAGCCATTTGTTTCCTAGTCTCAGCATCGCTTCTTACCCAGGGAAAGGTGGAGCAGATACTGAGAACAGTTTCCTTCCAAGGACATTGTTTGCCTTATTTATTTTTCACAGCACTAAAGGAGCACTGGTGGGTTCCCTTCAACTTGTCTGTCCCAAAGCCTCTCTGTCAGCATTCACAAACTGCAACTCACCACCTTACTCCCAAGACTTATAACCGAAAAGCTATCATTTTCTCCATTAAAGAATGCCTTGGGGTGCTGCATTCACAAACAAGTTACCATCACAGAGACTTTCGCTGGGCTATCATCACAGGATCCTGGCATGCCCCAAAGAGCACACAAGACCATGTTGTTCTATGCACAGTGAAAAATACATCTCGAGAGGCCCCTGCTATCCTAAAAGCATTAACACTTGAAACAGGGCAGATGACAGAGAAGGAGGGGAAGGTATTGCACAGCAATCTGGAAGCTGAAACCAGTCCTTGCAGGGGCAGGGATATTTTCGATGGGGAAGGCGTACAACAGTGAACCCTGGTATTCTGGCTTTCCACAAGGAGCTGGAGAGCACTGGATTAGAAATGGAAAGAGCAACAGCATATCTTAGATGGACAACTACTGTATGTGAAGAAAGACACAGCAGTTTGGATATGGTGCTATGAAAGAAGAATATTAAGCCAATAAAAATGACGAATATTGCATCAATATTCCTCTCCCCTTCAGTAGAAATGCCTGTAATCACACATTTATGAGTATCCACACTGCTTGCCCTTTGCAGCTACCCTTGGCTGCCAGTTAGGAAGAGATATATATTCTCTATCTCTGACAGTTATTGCATTTTATAAAGAAAAATCAAGTCACTAAAGAGTTTTCTGACAACTGATAAGGTCTAGCTATTCTTTTACAGTCCCTTCCTTACATAAGTGGCTGAGCTGCTGAACTGGAAATACGTGCTCTCGGCTGACACTTGACATGGGAAGGCTGAGCTGTAGAACTGGAAGGGTATTTTTCTGTGTAATCTGTGCTATTTGTTGTTTTAGAATGGGCATATTTTTCACCAGTTTGATTGAGGGCTTGTCAAAGCAGGGACCATGATGAGCCTTCTCCTTCAAAGTGTTATAAGCTCCTTGATTACAGTAAGAAAATCAAGTAGATCTGTTTGGTTAAACAAATAAGTGACCCCAAGCCCAAACCTTTCCAGAGAAAGGGACCACAGCAGGTTACTAAACTCATTTCACGGATGGGAAACTGAGAAGGACCAGAGCTATGGTCCTGCCAGGCCTTACGCAAGTGCTCAGCACTACTAATATGCGTCATCCACCAAAGTCAGCTGGACTATTCCAGTAACAGAGCTAAAGCACATGGGTAAATACTTTCAGGATTAGGGCCCAAGTGATTAGCCTCTCGATTCAGCAGGCTGCATTATTTCAAGCGCATGAGGAGTCCCATCGAAAGCAACTGGATTTTTGTATTTAGGAAAGGTAACAACTGCAGTTAATGTTAGAGCAGGCAGAGAAGTCAGTTGGGACTATTCACATGTGCCCAGAGCTCAGCCATAGCCTGCCCCAGAGATAAAGGGTGGGAATTTCAAAAGCATCAAAGGCCCAACTCATGCTGAAAATCAGTTGATTCACAGGCTTAAAGACACATGTTAAGCCAAAATGGGGCTTTTGAAAATTCAACCCAGAAGAGCTAGCACTCCTCCTTCTCAAAGCCTTCTTGCTACCAGCAACTGTCCTCCTCCCAGCTCCCTCTGAGGACTCAGCTGCTCCCCCCACCTCGTAGTAATACAGGAGCTATCTGTGTGAGGTCCAGGCTGATGTATCACCTTCCCTGCTCACAAACTATCAGGACTGAGAGCTTTTACCTGTTGACACAGCACTTGCCTACTCAGCAAGCTTACTGTATTCCTATAACTCAGCCACAGCTTTTGGGGATGTTTGTGCTTACACAGAAAAATACTATTAAAAGTCTTGCCCCCTTCCTATTAAGCTTGCTCCAAGCCTGGTAATTGCTTTCCCTCCTGCAAGCACAGTAGCAGCAGCATACGTGATTTAGTAGTGTCGAGAGTCGATATGTGTTCCTGGTCAGCTTGCGTGCCTGCCTGCATTATGTGGGTAGGTGTATTTTAATTCTCCAGAGGAGGGAGGGGGGGAGGATTATTGAAGTAGCATCAAATCCATCTATACAGACTGAAAAGCAGTAAGCTAGGAAGGCTTTTTAACCCTTACTGGCTGGAGCTGCATCCTCCCTTTCAGAACAACAGCTGGAAAAATACGCTTTGCTTTGTGAGTTTACTATTAGTTTATGAGTGGTAGCCCATTCCCACCTGGTCCCAAAGAGCTTGTTCTCAAACTTGGACACAAAACAATTCACGTCTGTCCAATGTGCAGACACAGAGCACAATCATGCCTTCGAACATGTAGAAGCAGGTCTTGGAGACAGGTCTCTAACATTACACCACCCTCCTGAGCACACAGCAGAGAGACGGACGTGGGTCCCTCTTCTCCACAGCAAGGAAAGATCTCAAGGAAAAGTCTCACAGAGGAAGGAGAAGAGAGTTGTGCACGGGCACTGGGCAAGAAACTAAGGTGGGCATCTGAGATACTGTTAATGGAAAGGTGCCGAGGGCAGATGCTAAGAACGAAAAGTGAGAGGAAGTTAAGGAGAAGAAGATGTTGAATTAGGTGTGGACAAGGGCAGGGACAACAGCTTTTGTAGCAATGCAACTTGAGATGATTTCTATTTGCTGAAGGCCCAGCCCAAAAGCTCGGTATGTAACAGCATTGCATGAACAGGATCTTTTTTCCCCGAGAATCTTGAGTTACACCAGAACGCCAGAAAAAGGAAATGGTGTCTAGTGGGGGTAATTCTTCAGTGTGCGGTTCACCCAAAGAGATACAGACCTTTCAGTGTGGCTGACACTATAGCAACAGAAGCTTTCAGCTCTCAAGGTCACCGACATGGCCTTCTAGTTTGGAGGACGAAGGCAGCCATCGCACAACTGTCCCTTTGAACTGGTGTGCACATGGACCATGGCACGTTAGTTCTACATCACGTCACAAAAATTCTGTTCCACATCTCTGAAAACTTAATAACATGCAAACTTTTCAGTTTGCTGCTTCAGAATAATCCACCTATTCTAGGAAAATAGAGAGTCAGCCAACAAAAAGTCACACTACAATTGCAATCACTCTCTTCACATTGAAATCTTATGCCATGCATAGCTCAGTGTTGAGAACATGCCCCTCTCTCTTCAGCTCAGCCTCCATCCCGACCTGTTAATCTGCTCTCACCTTCTTTGTGAATTTGTGATGGTAAGAAATATTTATCAAGTACTACACTGAGGCCATTTTATTAGGCTACACAGCACGTGCTGCAGCTACTTAAGTCGTATATACCGAATTGCTTAGCAGGTTGTAAAGGTCCTGCTGCTGAAGGTTTGCTGAGAGAGCTACTGTCTATCTCTGTTATTTTAAGTATTAGGTGCATGTCAGTGTGTCTTCTGGAGATGGAAGGCAGCGATCTTTTTACCAAATGACTGTGGTTAGTCAACGTATTGCTATGCAGAGTCAGTGCATTACTATGCACAGCATAACATAGCCACAATAGGCTAGATGTCAAAAGAGAATTACAAATGGTACTTTGACCCTCACACACGCACATCAGCGAGTTGGCAAAAACACCTGGTTTGTGCCTGCCAGCAATTTCTCTGCCTAAGGGGAATTAAAGTCCTCTGAAGTAGGCTCTACCACCATTGCACTATGACGTAAATAAGGTGAATGGCATCTTGCATTAGCTTACGCTCCATTATAAAGCTGAGACTCACACACGGAGACTTCGCTGTATAGTTTACCATCTTAAGAGAAAGGGAAAAAAACCAACCCCGGCAAGAATTTTGTGCCAGTGAAGATGGCCAATGAGGCAGTTACTCAGTATGCCCACGCGACAGCTGCGGTCAGTCTTTCTTGCCCAGGAAGACAGCGATTACTGTGAGGATCCCATGGAAAACCAAGCTGGAGAAGTGCTACTTATGATACCAGCGCAGACAGAGCAGGCGGTGGAGAAATGAGGGGCTCTGCTGCCTCTTCGGGGTGGAAGAACCCCCAAACCCACGCACCTCAAGGCCACCATTGTATTGTTTCAAGAAAGTCACGTTTTCCTTGGCTGCTGCGCTCATTGCTTGGATGGGAAGTCATCTAGGCACGTCACAGCGGCCACCTCCGCTGCCTTTCCTTCCACCCCTTCCTCCTGCCACGCTCCGCCATGCGTCCCTTGGCAGGACGTGGAAATACCCCACGCTGCACCACCAGCACAGCCCAGCATATCCCTCCCGCAGGACCACGCGTGCTCTCCCTCCTTCCTGGCCACAATTCCAGGGTGCGTTTGTGCCTCTCTGCTCTGCGTTTAAGTGGTTGCTTTATTTTTCTCTACTTTTAAGCTTCAGAAATATTTAATCAAGGCAAGATTTACATTTAAACCACTGCACCACGTGAAGCTGCATACTGGGGAGTACTTAAACCCTACTATTTTCTACTCACTGAACATGTGCTCCGATTACCGTGACTGCAGTTGCACTGTGGGTCTGTCTATCTGTCTGCTTGACTTTCTTGCAAGAGCAAGTAGAGAAACTTAAGAAGAATAAATTCATAAGAAAAATATCAAGTCTACTCTCTGGTTTTATTCTCTTCAGTGCTTTACAGGTAATGGTTAGACCTAAATTCTTCTTTCCAGAATAAATAACAGTCAGGGTATTATCTTACAGCACAGCAGTAAAGATCTCTTTGGCTTGTAAAGTCTCTTTGTAAAGGATGCTGAACTGAGAGTTTAGAAATTCACTGGTGATAAATAAACAGGGTGACAAAATTGTTTCCTGTTCATATAATGCTTTTTATAAGCAGATTTTTTTTCTGCTGTTCTACAGGACAAAATGTCACATGCAAAACTTTGTGGGCATCAGAAACCAAGTAAAACCAATTTCATTCACTAAAAATGTTCCCTTTTTATTTTGACAATGTCAATTTTTTTCCCATTATTTGCTTATATTTTGAAAGAAAAAGTCCCCTCCATTAAACCAGAAAAAAAGAAGTCTTCCCCTTAATTAGTTAATCCCCTAACACTTTCTCTCCCTTAAATACAAGTCAAATTTTTTTTCAGTTTTGAAGCTTCCCCGGATTTCACTGTGTCAGGGATATTACTAAACAAATCTCAGTGTAGCCTGCAAAAAGCCTTGGTTTTGACAAACTGACTTTTTAAATCAGGAATTTGCCCCCTGAAAATCTCTTACCATTTCTCTGAGGACCGTCCCTGCAGAACTGCACCTGAGGTCCCTCCTCTGTGATTTTGCCCCAGGCACCGGGCTGGGGCCCAGTAGAGGGCCCTCTCTGACAAGGTTCCATGGAGCAGGTCCTCCAGAGCCCACCTTGCACCGTCTCCCCAGTACCTTTACCCAACAGGAGCCCAACATTTTCAGATGACTATTGATTTTCAAAAGATCACCCCAAGCTACACTCGTCAACAGCGCAAAACACATTTGAGCAAAGAATGAGCAACGTGCTGGCCTGCCTGCCTGGTCAGCTGGTAGTTCATAAACATCCTACTTGAACATCTGTGCTTTTCATTAGGAAATGGAAAATTCTGCCCATATCACACTGAATTCTTCAGATTTTTCTTTCGCCAGTAAAAAATTTGCATTCCCTCTTACAAGAAAAGTTCTCTCTGCTGCTCTGGTATTAGAGAGGCTTTTCTGTCACAGTAAATCCAAGCTGTAGGGCTCCATTACTGCATCAGCAGTATCATATTTTATCAGCATTACTAGTCCTTCTTAAACTGAGACTTATGAACTCTTACATCGTTGAAAGATCTACTACTTCTCACAACCACAGGTAGCTCTAATCTTTCTTCGCTGAGCAATCAACAAAATAAACATCTCATGGGTCAAAGAAAAATTTCTAACTCCATAGGAAATAAGGGAAGGAAGTGCTGCAGCAAATTCAGGAGCTGATCCAATGTTCAGTGAAATTAATGCAAAGATACCACTGCTATCAAGAAGATGGGATCAGACAATTAACTCTGAACTGTGAAGTGCCGTACGATTTCTGTATTCTAATCTAGAAAAAAGCTAATATTGTTAGGATGTGACCAATAGCATGTTCCAAGTCATTCCTTATTTTTCACCCCCACACCACAGCTATTACCCAATAGGGTAATATTTGCATAAATATGGGCAAGACAATGCATTCTTTGCAGAGTTTCATTTTCGACTCAGATCCTGAACCTTTGGGCACTGATTACATTAAAGCACATACTTAATTGTCACTCCCATTTTTCTTGGAGCCAAAAAAAAAAGGCGAGTAAGAAAACTTGGAGGTGCTTTCCTAAATGTGATGCACTTTCAATGTCAAAGACCTCAACTTTGGCAGAGGCAAAGTTCATTGGCATTAAATGCTGATAGAGCTTCCTTAACTGGAAGCTACACTCTTACTCCAGCTGAGAATTTGGTCTTAGATCTGGGAAGGTCAAAAGGCACTGAGCAAGTTAATTTCACTCTCCCGGAGACTTTAACCAAAAATTCTCATTCTGGACATGCTGTTTTCCATCTGTGTCTCTGCCTCCAATTCTTCACTTGCTCTGGTTACATCTGCACAGGCAATTTAACTCACTCTGGAATTTCAAAAAGTGCCCGAGAACAGCCCATGCCCATGTGAAATGTCTCTACATGGCTCAGAAATTAAATCTAGCTCTTAAGCTTTGGCCTTCCACGAATGCTGGCACCCTGGCACTCTGTATAGATATGCCATATGGATACAAAAAGTAGCCAGGGATCTGATCCCAGGCAGGAACGTGTCCTGAATATGCTTTAGTCATATCAAAGCCAGTTTGTTTATGTAAGTCTGGCTGCTGGGACTACTTTCCTAACCCCTCAGCAGACATTGCCCAAATTTTTAAATACCCCAAACTCCCAACTCGATTTCCAGACATTTTCCAGAACTTTGTTCTGTCTGTCTCCCTGGAGAGGTGCTGAGTGAAGAAACTGGTCAGATGGCAGCAAAGTTGAAGCAGAGGAAACAAGCGTTAGCTGAAGTGGCCGCAGGATTCCAGCTCTTCCCTCCACCCCCCTCTGGACCCAAGATGATACCCAGGCAGTAAGTATAAGCATTTGCACATAATCTCCCAAAGCCTGGGATCAGCACCATAGGTAAACACGCTTGCAAATAGCTCCTGTGACGCTTGAGATACCTGCCCTCTTCATGCTGCCCCACCACGTAACCTTGGTTTTCAGCATCTCTTTTGTCTTGCCCTTCCTTTCCCATAAGAGCCCTGGAAGTGGGGGTTCCTTATTTACAGTCCATCTGACTTCCACACCGACCTTCATTCAACTCTTTCTGGAAACACACTTTCTTCTCCCTACCAAACTAAGAAATACTGTAGCAATTTAAAAAATTTTTTTCTTTTTTAAAGTGAAATATGTTACGCTGTCCTGTGATCAATTCCCCGTGATAACCATTGGATTGATGGCAAGCCTGAATTTGAGAGGCACTGAGCTCTTGCTGCCCAGTGGAGGTCACTGGTAGGGAGAAGGGGAATGGGAAGCAGTGGTGGCTGTCGGAAGGCAGGCTGAAATTGAAGCCCTGGACGCCTGAATCATAGGGCTCTTCTTTACAGATTTTTAGCTCCTTGAGGCCAAATGCATCTCATCTGTTCTGTGCGCATTTGCAGTGCTCTACTTATCAACACAGCGCAGAGATGCAGAGATTTAGATAGATATCTCCAGTGATTAAAGGAAAATCTACCATGGAGCACATTCTAAATACATTAAAAAAAATAATTCTCCCAACAATACTGGACGGATAAGGTTAAAAAATTCCTAGCTCATTTACCAACATAAAGATGGTATAATTATTCAGCTGTTTGCAAGGCTACTTCTCTACAACTTATAAAGCAGAGTGATGTCTTGTGACTGGCATCAGATGGGAAACCTAGAGTGCTTGCATATGACGAAAGGTGCTGAAAAGACAGTCCTGGAAAATTAAGTCTTCTCTCATCCACAGTAGATGATCAGCAGTGGCAGCGGTCCTGGGCCACGGGTGAGTTAATTCTCTGAGGAGCAAACTCAGTCACCATGGTCTTTATAGCCTCCTCTATGCCTCTCTGCAGAGTCAGTCAAAAAGCAATCAGTTTCTGCCACTTTTTACAATAGATCAGGGATGTTTCGGCAACACAATCGGAACTGAGCAAACCTCTTGCAATGTATTTACCATTACTGAGTGTTTATGACACAACCACTAACTGTTTTTCAGGACCTTTTTATGGAAAATAGCACATATGCAAGGTGTCATTTAATGCTTTTTACAGATGCCTGGATCACTTAGAAAGAGAAAAGGGAATTTCAAGCTATCTTCCTTCCAAGCCCTTCTTCTTGTCTTTGTTTTAAACAGCTACTTGACTTAAAGGGGCTCATCACCATAGGATCTCTAAAGTCTCCTTTCAACAGTCCTGTGAGATGATAGAGAAACTATTATTTCCTCTTACAGATGACAGAGTATGGCACAGAAAGACTACGACACTTCTCCAAGGTCACACAGCAAATGTACAGCATGGTAGGGAACATCATCTAACCCTGTGGAGTGCTCAGCTAGTATTTAAGCCTCCCCATCACCCTTCCTCTGAAATGAAGGATGACCTGCGTGCTGTGACCCAACTGTAGCTCCTGGGACCCTACAGCAATTCCTGGGACACTCCAGCACTTCTCTGCCTCTGTCTGTCTCTCCTACACACAGAGGAGAGCAGAGAGCCGCTGCTCACCTGGTGGGTGCATGCTTCTGCTCCTCCTCTTCATCTGTGTCGCTGCTGATCGTGATGACACTCACTGCGGGGCTAGGGGTGTCGGGAATGATTATCGTCTGCCGCTGCCGCTCCCGCGTGGTGCTGGTCGCCACGTCGCCCCAGCCGCACGTGACGGAGGTGCTGCAGGCAGGGCTGTTGTGCACCATGGCACAGCGGGGAGGCGTGTTTTCCTTCACTCGTTTCGACCGCTGAGGCGAGCTGATGGATTGAGAGGATGAAACTTCATAGGTGGATGCGTTTCTGGAAATGGGAAAGGTTGGTTAAAACGCGGTTTGCTTAAGTTGCTCGTCGCCATGGCTTTTGATTCCTGGTCTCTGATTCAGTGGCATTGATTTATGGAGTACAGGAAAAATGCAAAATTCGCACAGTTACCTCTTCAAAGGACAGAGTGCCTCACATGACTTATTCATATAATTGGCTGAAAAGTAGTTTCCTTCAGTAAAAAATTCAATTTTGTTTTCCCTAGAAATTACCAAATGAGAAACGCTGCCTCCCAGGAGTTTGTGCTGGGAGGTAGAGGCTAGTCACACAGCCCAGACATACAAAACACAGGCAGGCACAGTATGGCTGTCGCAGAAGGAAGAAGAACCCAAGTGATAATCCCTTTCTCCTGTATCCTGCATGGATGCATCATGACCAGTTATTTTTTGGCCAGAAAAAGCTCAAGGTAAAACTAGAATTTGTTGTGGAAAACAACAATCATTTATCAGGAAAACTGCTTTTCTTAGTTGAAAATTTATTTTTCTTTTTAAGAATCTTTTCAATGAACATTTCATGCCTAACGCTTCATCCTCTAGGATAGAGGAGTCCCATGGATGAAAGCACGCAGATGGGGGGGCATATACTCAATTTCATTTCATTCCCAAGTGAGGCAGCAGATACAGCATATATAAATAAGAAAGAAAAGAACAACCTTTTCATTATGCAGTAGAAAAACATGCTCAGGTCCTGTTTTTTTCCCAGTCTTCCTACTTCAGTTTCCCTACCTGACAGTTGGAAAGGGCCCACTTGGATCAGGGATCTGAACACAGAACCTGTCCACCAAACAGTGCAGTGCAGGTCTGCAGAGGGGAATATTTACCAAAGCACACTGACAAAAGCCCATTTCACCCATTTCCCAAATTTCCTTTCTTCCTTGTATTTCTTGTTTTTCTTCTGCCTATTGCAGAACATTTGCAGATTCAAAAATGAAAAAAAACCCAACCCCAAAGTTCTGGTTTTGTTCTACAGTGGGGCCTGGGCTGCACATTGAGAGCTAACAAAAGGAATAGGTAGCATCCATCAAAAGGAAGTCACTCTGGACGTATCACACTATACCAACTTACACAGGGTCTTTTGCATAACAAATGGCTGCACAGTAGCATTTGCAGTGCTTTTTGAATACCAATGAGCAGCATGGAGTACCCTCCTCTCCAAAAGGAGCACGTTCCTCATTTGGCTACAAAAGCCTCACAATCAATGAAGCCGTAGAAACCATTGCTCTGAAAGTGTCCAATTCCTCCTGGACACTGCCACCCTGCCCCTGGAGAGGGAAGGGAGAGGGAAAGCCCTGCACAGGCACACTGGTTGCAACAGGCATTCTCTTTTGCTGGCTTGCTGGGGACGTAGCTGTCTCTCCTCTACATTACGAATGGACTAAGACAGCTGGAGCCCACCCAAAGTAAATGCAACATTAGAGAGCAGATAAAGGGGAAGGATTTAAATAGTGGCCTCTTAACTAGAGTCAAATTGGTTGTGAACTCGGAGCTCCTCTGGCCCCAGTCCAGTCACCCAGGAAAACCACAAGCTCCACTGTTTTTGCCACTGTACAAGTGGTGACCCATTTTGGTTCTCCCCCCTGCGCTGTTATGGTTTGGGTTTTTTTAAAGAAACGTGCTAGTTTCACAGCCCAGAGGACTTTTCCCAGGAACAGCTGCACATACATCTTAAACAGCCTTGTCCTCTAGGCAAGATTACAGTGCTGTGACAGGCACTGCAATCATCCTACCATTTCAGTTGTGCCACATAACATCGTATGAACCAAAACCCTGTCTCTTCCTTGCAGAGCCAAACGGTCCTGCTGAGAGTTGATAGATTTAGGTGACTAAGGACTGTATAAGATGTCCTTATAAAATGCTTCCTGCTTTATGCTGCTATGATTAGAAAAAGGCCAGTGCGGGTACCTGTTGCTGGTGTGTACTGTTGAAGATAGGGGCCACCCACCTACGTTAGGAGCCAGAGAGCTTGAAGGTGGCCTAAAGCCACCCCAGTTCTCCGCTCTGCAGGGCACTAAAGCTCAGAAGTTAGGTCATCGTCCCATTGCTTTTGAAAGGGCAGATCTCGTGTGCACACACCAGACGCGTGTTCCTGAAGATCTGGTCCCCTGGAGGTGCACCATCCTGTGCAAATGCAGACACTGCACCTCAGGAGTGGGGGCAGAGGTGATGGGGGAAGAAAAGGTGCGGCAACCGGGCATTGCACCACGCTGACCTGAGAGTATAGCTACCTTTTTAACTACGGCCACAACAAGGCCTCAGGTAATCGCAGCAGCATCACGAGCTGTACGAACAGGGCCCGAGTCTCCCATCCTGCACCCCCTCCAGCCACCAACAAAACGATGCTCACCAGGTATAAAACGTGCCTGACCGCCTCTTACCCCCTGCCCTCCTGACCTGGGTACGGAAAAGGCGAAGCAGCAAAGAGCCTGGTCGCAAAAAAGCGTGATACAATCCCTCACGGGCCACGGCACCAACCTCCTTTCGCCCCGCTGAAGTCAGTCAACGCGCCCCCCCGTCAGCGCGCTTCGCGTCGGGAGGGCTGCCTTCCCCACAACCCCAGCACGGAGCGCTGCCTCGCCGACGCCACGACCCGCACTCACCGGGGCGCCGACGGGTGCTGCTTGCTCTTCCTGGCGGCGGCGGCGGCGGGCGGCTGGCGCATGACGTGCGCGACGCCCACGTTGACGGGCTGGGCCGCAGGGAGGGTGACGTGGCTCGCCAGCAGCGCCGGCTGCTGCATGATGGGATTGTAATGGCTGCCGTGAGCGTGGGTGTTTCTGCAAAGCGGGGAGACGGGCGCGCGGTTAAAAGGCAGCCGGCGGCTCTTCCGCAGGTTCCCGACGCCTTCGCCGAGGCACCCTCCTCCAGGGCCCGTCGGGCTGCCCGTCGCCCCGGGAAGGAGCGTTTCCCCCAGGGAACCCACTGAAGGCGGCGGCGTGGGCACGGCACTCCACCGCAAGGACGGGGAACGGCGAGGCTGCCCGTAGCTCTCAGACAGGGGGTTATAGGCCGCAGCCTCGGCCCTTCTCCCCCCGCCGGCTCTACAGCCTCGCGAGACCGCGTCCCTCCCACCCCGGTTCTTCTCACGCCTCCTCCAGCACCGGTGGGCACTTCGGGGACCCTCCAGTTTACCTCCAGTCTGCCAGCGGTTGGGTGCCTGCCATGGACTCCGGGATGACGGTCGCGTGCTGGACAGAAGTGTGGGTGGCCACCCCGGTCAGCTGCTGCCAGGCAGGAGGGAGCAGGATCTGCTGAGTGCCACTGGGCCACGCTTGCTGTCGACAGAGGGAAAACAATTGCTTAACCAGAGGCATCGTACGCCGAGCGTGAGCGGCGGTCCGGGCTCAGCTGGGGGTCCTAATAACGATCGTGGTCGTACTACTCGTGCTTACCACTTTTCAGTCATAGGTGACAAATACTGTTAGGAAACGGCAGTAAAAGCAGTAAAAATTACCAATACAGAGAGCGCAAAGGAGGGGAAAGAAAATCCCTGCCGTCCAAAGCAGCAGCTGTGTTTTAGGTTAAACTGGGAATGGGAGGGATCGAAACTGGTCAGCATTTTAACCCAAATATCAAAGTCTTTAGCACCTTTTAATATTGACTCTCCAGATCAGCTGGGCACCATGGTCCCATTGTTATTTTCCCCCTTCTACAGCCAATTTTCCTTCCCACCCCAACAGGACCTAAAGGACTTCAGGAACTTAAAGGAACTAAAAAGGAGAATGCACTTTTCAAGGATCAGAAAACAGAACAGGGGGCTGCAAGGCTTTTGCGAGGAGGAAAAAAAGGTGAATTTGGGGATACCAAAAGCAAACGCGCATCAGTCAGCAAGCGCTCCTCAGGAGGAACGTCTTGCTGCACGGGAGCCCGGTCGCCTGCTTCCAGCTCACCAGGATCCCCCTGGCCAAAGCAGAGCGGAGCCATGCACGGCTACCCGTCACGTGCCTGCCTGCTCCCTGTGCTCTCCGGCTTTTTCTGAGCGTGTGCCCCCCTTCGCAGGGGTGGAAATCTCTGCCCTGTGAGTTGAGCCATCGCTCTGCTACGCAACCATCCCTCCAGCTGTGCTGCCACAGGCATGACTCAGGTCATCCTGCTCTGGTGACTCCACACACGAGTCAGACGCATGGTTTTTTGACTTGGGAAACTTTCTTTGCTATGTGCTGCCTGAAGGCAGCTCCGGCAGCTTCTCACTGCCTGGGCTGGGGAACGCAGAGGTACCAGCTACAGTCCTCCTTAGTTCCGACTGGTACTACTGTATTGGACCCATGTTGTGTTATCTCACAGCTCTAAGGAGGCCAAATTTTAGAGGGGAGGCTTCTTCCAGGCAGGCATTTGTCCCCATGTCCATCCTCACAAGAATCCTGTTAACTGTCCCCACGATTCCCTCCTATTCCCCAGTAAAAAACCAAACCACCACCACCCCCAAAACCCACATTTCCCAGTTCTGCTCCAAAGTTTGACTGTCTCGTAATTTTCCACATTGCTGAGTTCAATGAAAAGGCTGCTACGGTGAGGCCTCTCAGCAACATCTGCAAAGGATGGACAGTCACAGGGCTCCTGAGAACTCTTCATCTAAGGAGCCACAACTACAGACTGGTGCTGCTCAGAGCAGGTAGGAGGAAGAGGCAAAGCCACAAAAAGATCAGGGAGAAAGAAAAGCTTCTTTTTTTTTTTTCCCTTTTCTTTTTTTCCCAGATTTGATTTAAAAGAGGAGACTAAACTACTGTTGCAGTCAGTCCCAGGGGACCACCTGGATTTACTTGCAGAGAAATCTGCTTCCTCCCTTTTCAGGAAGAGAACTGAACAAATCTAAGCTCCTTTCCCGACTGCAGTGCATAAATTTAGATGCAGTGTCAGGGTCCAGGCACAAATTCCTCACTTATTAGGTAAGGACCACTGAATCATTTAATCTGCAGATAAGACTTGTCTAGGCGGATCCACTAGCACAGTGCGTTGTGCTTACACACGGGAGGCTTGTGCCGGCAGCCACAGCCTGTTCTCAGTTATTGCATTACTGTGAAATTGTGCCGCCGTGGCAGAGCCCCTGCGCTCAGGAGGTGGTGGGTCCCCCGGTGCAACAGAGCTCCCGCTTCGGATGTAGAGCAAAAATGACTAACGGAATAAGCATGTTTTGTTCCGAAAGCCAGTGGCAGGACCTCTGTGGGAAGAGTGTTGTTGGGAAGGAGTTAAAAGAAGACAAAATCAAGAATTCAGGGTGTTATTCAAGGACAGGGGACAGTTCTGGGTCATGTCATGGAAGCCTGCCAGAGAACTGTACAGCTTTGTCTCTTTTGAGATCTGAAGCTACAGAGAGCTATTAGTAAAGACAGGATCAGTCTCTTTCACTGGTCTCTGTGCATACAGTATGTGGATCACACTTGCTTGAGAGGGCGAAAATAGACTCAGAGAAGTTACAAGTAAGTTACTTTCACCACTGGCTCTGCATCTTGCAGACTGCTTGCTCTCTCTATCTCCACGCCACAGGCTGCAGACACACAGCTGCCAGAGATGATGCTTGAAATCCATCACTGCCTCTACCCTGTGTCCCTCCAGCTCCTGGAACTCCTTCCCCCGTCTTTCCTCTGGGACTGCTAGTCTCATGCAAAACGCACAGGGAGAGCTGGACGCCAGCTGCACTGGGACGCAGTAAGGCTTTGCCAGCCACAGCCGTACTTATGCAGGCAGGCACAGTGACCTGTGCCGCATGCTGGGCAGGGGAGAACGCTCGATGGCACTACAGAGTGCTGGGAGCACAAGGAGCAGCATTGTGCCTGATCAGTGGGACAAATAAGGTGGGTGGAAAGACAGAAGTGCTACGCGCTCTGCCATGGACAGTCCCTCTAGTAGTTGGAGCAATCGCACGGTCTGGTCTGAAGAGCATTAGATAAGCAGCTGTGCCTGAGAGGAATAGCTCTCTGCTGAGAGAGACACATGCAGCCGCTCAGAGATCAGATGTGACTACAATGCATTACAAAGAAGCTGTGTTTTTCCATTCAGGAAACTGGAATTGGGTACAGATTTGTTTATCAGACCAGCTGCTCAGCCCGAACCGAGCGAGACCCGTGGACACCAGATGCCACCAGCATCAATCAGAGTGCCTTGCCATCAGAGTGGCAGCTAGCATTTCTCATCGCATGAGACAGACAGATATATCAACAGGCAGACTGCCTCTCTTTTATGAAATAAAAAATTAAAAATCTATGCAAGTGAGGAGTGTTTCTCACAAACAGCTTAAATTCCCTTGTGGAAGTGACAGCAAATAAAATGTCGGTAGAAGGTATGAGTGGGGACAGCCCGTGAAATAGGAGTTAATGTAGCAGGGGCAGCACAGAAATTGGTAGCAAAGCTCCTCCTGAACAGTCCCTCCCTCCCACAGACTGCATGGTGTCCCCAACAAGGCCACCTCGAGAAAAAAGAAGGAGCTGGAGGTCCTGAGATCTTTCAGGATCCTGCTGCCTTTGGGATGCTTCAGACCTGACCCTCACCCCTTCAAGCCCCACGTAACAGCACACATAAGGAGGCCTGGCAGAACAGCAGAGGCGTGCAAAGCTCTGTCACCTCCTTCACCCACTGCCTTGGCTGACTTCTTGCACAAGCAATAGGAGCCCGCAACCATGCCTGCGCAGGCTGCTGCTGACTTTGCTATTGTTTTTGTTTTCCATGCCTCTTAGGCTCTCCTTTCCTACCAAATGAGAGAGGTTGTTACGACAGGCTGCAGGAGAGATAGGTTCGATGTTTCAGACAGCCCTCTAACAAAGACTCTGCTGTTGGGAAGAGGCAGGGCACATTAGCTAATGGAAATCACGCAGGCTGCAAATTGTGTTTCTGCCTTCACCAGATAAGCGTAACTGGTAGCTGGCAAAGAAAGGCAATTGCACCAACAGTCTTACCCCAGCAATGCAACGCACAGGCATAAACCCCAAAGTCTGCTGGTACCTGACTGTGTATGACCAAGCTGGCATTAATGAAGGCATGGCAGATCAACCAATCCTGAGTCAGAGGCATGAATTTTTGACTTGTAGGTCATCTTTTCCAGGCTGTACAACTTAATACTAAGTATAGTAGGTGCTTTTTTTTTCTCCTGCCAGAAACATGCCTGATATTGGCAGAGGTACCATGGCACCAGCTGAAAACCAGTAGGGGCAGATTCGCTGAAGCAAGCACAAGGAAGAATGAACTACTCCTCCTTTTTGAGGAGCTGGTGTTCCCCTTGAGGATGTGCATGTGATCAGCGGTACCCATTCCCGTTTGTTTTTTTTTTCCTGGGAGGAACCATGCTTTTTCTGTGAACAAATTTCATACAACTGTGCCAACAAGTGCTGCTGACAAGGAGAGGTCCTTGGCTGTTCGGTGTCTTCAGAGCTCCTTACCTGTGCGAGGAGTCCTGGCTGGATCTGAAGAGGCTGGGCCCCAGGAGCCTGAGTGACAATGGGAACGGCGTTCTCCATCCGAACTGAATACCCAGCATGCTTCGAAGGGGAGGCTTGTAACCCTGTTCCACCAGCACAGAAGGTACAGCATTAGCCATTAACAGCATTGCTAGGAACAGGAGTGTGGTATTCAGAGGTGCCTAAAGGCAGTTGCTGATGTCCACTTCAATTGCAGTGTTCAGTCCCTCCAAAAAATCAGGCTCTCAGAGTCCCACATATTCTACCCCAGCCCAAAGACGTCCATCAAATGTTCATAAACATGATACATGTATAAGGGTGCAGAAAAGACATTTTCAAAGACGTTAAGGGATTAGCTGAGTTCATGTTTTTATGGGACCTTGAATGCACGGGAAACATCTCAGTACAATATGTACAGGGAAAAAAAGATAGAGAGGGGAGAGAATGCCTTCTCTTCCCCTATATTCTCTGGTTTGACAACAGAAAATGGTCCTTGCCAGCCAAAACTCATTGCTATGTGAGAATGCTCTCTATAGACCAAAGTGGGACAGTGGGACAGGAATCCAGAACTCCGCACTCAGCCTTGACGAGGACAGGTGATTTTCTCTTGCACAGCTTCTCCGAACTCATGTTTAAAAGTCTCTGATCTGACCGGGTAATCTAGCACACCCCAAACTCCAATCACTGCTGACTCAGCCATGCGTTAGCCTAACTGAGCTGGAGGAAGTTTCCCTCTCCGCCACCTTAGCGTGTGGCACAGCCTGTGCTACCTCCCTCTGCTTTAGAGCTTTCTCAAGACAGCAAATGGAAGATGTTAGGCTACATATTCTAGCAATACATTTCTGAAGTCAAACCCTTGAGATGGATTCTAACAATGTAGAAGAGGTCTAGCTAAACTCCCCTAGTTCAAAAGAGCTTTGATAATCTTGCAGAACATTTAACAAGTGCCTGGAGACTTCTGCACAGACAGGCTTGTAGAAACGAAGAGCAGAAGTTGCACCAGCTGAACCAAGGTCTATTTAGACCACTTCCTACAGATGCCTGGCTAGTTTTTCCAAATTGCTACAGCATGTAAAGTCAAGGGAAGGACAAGTGGCTAAATCTGATCATCACCCAAGCTGACAGTGGCACCTGCCACTGGTATACACAGGCAGAGTTGTTTGCAGCAGGGCTGGAGCTGAAGGAATTGTACTGATAAATGGTCATAAGCATCTGTTACGGTGACAAACCCTCATCTCCACCAGGACCACACTCCCTGCTGCATTAACCTCCCGAGTCCCCCTTTTAACAACTGAATCACTGAGAAGCAATGAACCCATTATTTATGTACTAATTGAACATTGTTGTGGGGGAAAATTTTCAAGTTTACCAAAGTGAGGCAGAAGAGCCTCAAATTCTGTTCAGGGCAAAGGAAAAAAATATCACATATTCTCCCCCAGTCCCTTCTCAGTGCACGCCCCATTGTTTTAGACCAGCCACCTCCAACTCATGACGTTGGAGGTGCCTGCAAGATCCTCCACTGTTGCAAACATTTCCATCTGTAACAACCTCATTGCTCTGATTTACTAGGCCAGCAATTTTTCTACCATATGATCTGCACTAAGGAAGCTTGTTTCCAACAAGAGCTAAATGAAACAGCAGTGGGGAGGGAGCAGCGACTGGCCAAGACCTGGCAAGGCTGTTACTTACCTTGGAAGCCTGGTGGGCAGACGATGAGAGCTTGCTGGAAGGGGTCGGGCCGGGCACAGATCTGCGCTGTTCCTGTCTGCAGGGGCATGCTCCGCTGGGCCACCGCAGCCATGGACGCCGCTGAGGGCTGGTAGAGTGCAGATTGGTAATTTAGTATGGAGACCTCGGGGTTGGCTAAGGAAATAGTGGCACTGGAGGAGGTGGGAGCCAGGTTGGTGGTCTAAAGGAATGACGGGAATTAAACAAAAACAAACAAAAAATGAGGGAGATGGGTACGTTGGAAGAAGCAAAATCCAAAAATAAAATAAAAAAGTAAAATAGTGTAAGATAAAGTAAAACAAACCAAAACAAAACCAAACCAAAACAGCAAACCAAAACCAAACAAGGGGTAGAACAGGACACTGAGGAGCACAGAGGCAAGGGCAGCGATGGGGAAAGGAGCACGATCTGCCTGAGCAACCGCAGCTGTACCATGCCATGGGACCTCCGGCCATGCAGCGCTGCTGTGTACTGCTCGGAGACATAGCACGTTCTCCAAAGGAGAACTGTAGCCCCCATTTATAGCCCAACTGGCTCTGATTTCCAGCATGATGAAGGTGAGTTCAGAAAATGCTACTATCCCCAAATCACTTTGTTCTCTCATCATGCACATAGCTCTAGAAGCAGCTCACATTTCTTAGGTAAAAGAAACTCAGCACCTCCATGCCCTGTGAAGCCTCATTCTGAGAGGGGAGACTCATTCCAGCCTTTCCTCTACCTTGTAACTAAGGCGGCACATGCCCCTTGAATTATGTTTTGAATTCAAAGGAATTGGAAGGCATAACAGGAGGTAATAATAATAATACTTTCGAAGTCCAAACTTCGCTTGGCTTGACTTTAAAACCTCTCAGAGCAGAAACTTCAGCAGGGGACGTTGCAAAGCCACAAAAATCAGCCCAGTGTTCTGTGAAACATCTAGAAATCTCAGGGTGACTTGTTTTTTATTTGGACTGAGTCTGTAACAGTTGCAGATGAACAACCCCTAAACAGCTCTGCCACTGGTCTATAAAAATATGTCCTTAGCATTCGCATCTAGGCAGCTAGGCTCTACCAGACCTGAGCCCACCTTTGCCCTCTATCCAAAAGCATCAGCATCACTGCTGGAGATAGGACAGACAACACTTTCTCATGGTGAACGTATGAACCCAGGATGAGGCTTTGATCAAAGCTGCAGGAGGCAGCTGGTGAAGCATTTTGCGCTACCCTGGTGGCCACTGGGCCCGGGAAGGGTACCCATGCTGCACTGCCACAGCCACAACCACAGCCACGAGGGATGCAATGGTAAAACATTTCTTCCTCCTCTTCTTCCTCCCCTCTCTGTGCAGAGGCAGAGAAGTGCAATCTGTTCCCTTGTGCAACACGCCGAGCAGCAACCACAACAGCTCCCACGCTCCTAATCTCAGGAGTCATAACTGGAAGGAGGCAATCCCCAGATATTTTGCAGAGACGGGGAGCACCAGAGAGCCAAGATGAGCGATATGTTGAAGAGAATGGTGAAAGGTTTAGAGCTTGTTCAAATTAAAGCACTCTTCCTGGAAATGTTTCTACCACTTCTTCCAGGAACACTGGAGATACCGGTTCTGCTCACAACACACACCCCTTACGAGAGTTCGGAGATTACCACGGATCTCCCCAGCCAACAACTGATCTTAACATCAAGTGAGTTGCAAAGAAACGAAAGCAAGTCTGCATTTCCTACTAGCGATGGTGGTACAAACGGTGTCTCTGCCCTGCAGCTGGGGCCTAGAGGAGCATGTAGCATGCATTTCTTTAGTCAGCACCTCAGAAACAGCCAAGGAAGGGAACCAGTGTTTGTAACTAATACCCTATCACACCAAGCCATAACCTATCTCTCTCTGTATCTGCTTAATGAATTGTTCCAAAAGACCTTCTGTAATCACACGTATCAAGACCTGAGTCATGAAGTCTGGTTTTCTGAGTGACATAGGAACACCCTGTACATCTACACAGACTCCTTTAGCTCCCTTGCTTTCCAAGCACCATTTCCACAACACCACCTGCAATCTCTAGAGTGAATTTTGAGCTGCCTGTTCCCACAAGACTTAAAAGACAGTAGCTATTTCTTGAGCTTCAGTCTCCCCCTGGAGAGTTTCCTTTCACCGTTGTAATACAGTACTGCAGTAAACAACTTTGCCTGCTAGTCACATAAAATTTGTCGACCCAGCACCCCCCAACAGTGGGGCATATAAAACTAATACAAGAGTCCAAAGCATGATTACAAAGCCAGAGCCCACCAATGTAGAGTGCAACGTGTTCGGAGTGGGGGTACGTGCACAGGGTCCCCATGTCAACTGTGGCACCTGGAGTAAAACCAATGAGAGATAAGAATAAACATTACTGCTAAGCTCCTCTTCCCTGTTAATCGGTTACAGTGCTGTGTCTGTTACAGAAGGATTTAAATTCTTTTTACTTCAATGTCAATTTGAAGAAGTGCTGTAAGATCACAAATACTTCTACCTGACCCAGGGAGTGCAGTCCTGCTTGCTGCATTAAGGGACTAATGAGCTTTTCCCCATAGCAACTTCCCAAGTAAGCAGGATTTATCACCTCCAACAACAACATAAACAACGAGGACAACATTTCACCGTCACACAAAATGTCACAAGATTACCGCCTGCCTGAAGAAAAGAGAATGAAGAAGAGTGGAGGAAGAAGAGTGAAAAAGTACCATCTTTTTGCAGGCATGTTAAATGGGATGCTACTTTGCTTTTCATATTCTAGACCCTACTGACGTAAACGTTTCAAGCACTGGCTGCTTCTGATCGATGCCCTTACCTGGTTGTGGACTGTGTTCAGCTGGTTGTTAAAAGTCATGGTCAAGTTGGTCGATGTACTTGGGGCTACATGGGTGATGAATGGTGTCTTGCTCTGGTTCACTGTGTCATACATATTCACCCGCCGCTTGCAAATCTCCATGTTCTGGAAGCAGGACTTGACACTGTGTAAGGAAAGGGGGGACAAGGAAGAAACGCAAAATCAACTAACCAACCAACACAGGTAACCGTTCATCACAGTGGCCCTGCATTAGGTCTCCACTGCAGGCTTGGCACTTTTTATGCTTTTAAAGCCCTTTGGTATTTTACGCAGGTCTCTCTTAACCAGTGAGAGTCAGATGAACCCTGTAGCGAAGAGGGCCAAATGGGTGTGAGGATGAGAGCGGCTGCTCTGGGACTCCTGGGTGCCCCCATGGGCCTGAGCACTGCAACCTAAGTCACAAAAAGCAAGCAAATGGGTTGCTCTTTACCTGACAGGGCAAGAAATACAAAGTGGCTATTTTAAAAGACTGAAAGAGGCAAGACTGAGGGCAAGAAAGACAGACAGATACTGGTTTTTTTCTGATGATTGAGCCTGACAGGAAAAGACAACTCACGCTTTCTGCCTCAGTGTAAGCCTAAAGGTAGTTTTACAAGTCTTTTGCAAGGAAGAATTTTACTGTTCCTCCTCACTGAGACCCCTGAAAAATCTTAGTTATTCCTGTTAAAAAGCAGTTCACTGAGAGCTGAGTCCAGCCAAGTGGTTAAAACACTGGCCCTGTCCGGCTAAACACTTCTGCAGATCCTTATCTTAAAGCACATGAGCTGTCCTCTTGCAGTCAATGGGACAATTCATACCGCAAAAGGTTATGCCAAACCAGATTCATCAATGTCCTGAGGGAATCAGGTTCTGAGGTTATCTCAGCCTAAGGATTGGATCTCTGGGGGGGAAGATTACAGCTTCTTCCTCTGCACTGACTTTCCTTTAAATGTTATTGATATAGCAATGGAAATTTTGAAAAGTATCATATTTTGTATCCCCAGTAAAGGAGATTAAATACTCTCTGCATTACTAGAGCACTCTAGGTGTCTGGTACGTGAAACTGCTGGTATTTCATTTTTATAATTGGGATACCAAAGCGTACAGAGGTTTAAGAGATAACAACATAGCAATCTTGGGCAAAACTGTATTTTTAATAAAATCTCATTTTTCCAAGGTCTAAAAACCAATACAGGTTTTCCACAATTCTTCCATAATTGTTTTTACAAATGTGACCTCAGAGTCTGAAACGCAACCCAAAAAAGAATAAAGGCATTTATTTTATTTCCATTATCCCAACCCAGAAAAATAGAAAATCCAAGCAGTGAAAAATCAGCTGTAGCTGTAAAAAATCAGCTGTATACATAATTTCTTTCGTAATGATCCAAGCTGTTAGAGGTAGGGGAGGTAAACACATCCTCACATAATTTTTGCGAAACAAAATGTCCCTTCCAAAGGAACACGTTCATATAATCTCTAGGGTTGGTCAGGAAGAGGACCTAGATCTTTTTATCCCTGTCTAGTCTCTTACTCACATGGTCATCTTTCTTCTCTTACAGGTAATATCTTGATAACTGGATCTGTGCCATAAACACCTGCAGACAAGACAGGCTCAGGATACTGCATAGCTGTGTATTATGTGCATTCATTTAAATAACTATGAAATACCTGTAAGTTGCAGAACATTCAGAAAAATCAAATACTTATCAAATAAATATAGAAGACTAGTGGATTGCATTTTTCCAGTCACCTATGAATATAATTCTCCCTCCAAAAAGCAGAAAGCACTGGAAAGAGTATATATTCTGTACATGGTAAACTGTGTGTGTTACCAAATGGTTTTATATAACAAGGTATAATCTCTACTAATGTAATACTGTGTTCTCTTTAAAGAGACACTTTAAAAAAAAGGGGAAAAAAAAAAAAGGCAGGGACAGAGCAAAACAGACAGAAAGACCAAGGAGTACGCAACAATTTAAGAGCCAGTCAGTTAAATACTTAAAATGGGGGAGCTAAACTCCCTTCACAGTTTGCTTGGAAGTAAGCAGAACAGCCCCTCTTGGGCTGCTCAAACTTGCAGCCTCTCTGAAGCATGCCACAGCAGATTCCTTCCAGAAGCTACATCTTCCATATATTCTCACTGTCTCTGCTGCCTGATTTACTTTCAAGAGAGATTACAACTCCCTGCATCTCTCGAGGCTTTGAAGTTTCTATTCTCAAAACCACAGGCAATCAGAGACAAAATTTCCATCAACTTGCCACGCTGGTTACAGCTTATTGCTCTCTTTCCCAATCACCGCTTCCAACACGGAGGGGCTGCGCAGGGTTACGCACCCAGCTGGCACAGCATTTAGTATTCAGAGACCTGATGTTGAATTTTTTATCCAGGTAAAATTCTCACTGCTATTGGCCCCAATGATATTTTCAACCTTTCTGGGGCTTTGCCTGAGCAGCCACAAGTGAGCACTTCAAAAACGAAGATGTGATTATGGTCTATTGCGTTAGTGGAAAGATTTCTGATGGCAATGCATTATGCCACAAATGTCTCCTATCTTACACAATCAGTTATTACACAGTAAGAAGGACTGTTGCAAATTAAAAGACTTCAGTATGTGATGCTAACAGTTAGAAAATACTGTCTTTTTTTTTTATTTATGAATGTTTTTATACGAAACTTACTTTCTCTCTGTTTAGCACAATAATCTCCCATCTTGTTTTCATTACATTTATCACTTACTATTTACTTCTAGATAACAATGATCAAAGATGTTTGTGCAGGCTAAGTCTGGGTCTACACAGATCACACACCCACTACCTTCTGGTAAGTAGCTGCTCTTATCTTGTGATAAATGTAACAAAAAGGCAGCTACAGCTCCTTCACAGAGGGAAAACAACCTTAAATGGACTTCAAATATTGCAGGTAAGAGCACACATAGGGGCAGGAGAGGTGACGCAGTAACCTGTTGCTCCACAGCACCCACACAAACATACTCTACGGCTTTTTAAGCAGTCCCCTTTATTTTCATACCTGAGCTCCTCACAGCTTTTAACACCCATGCACATGGCACCCAATGAAGTACAATGCTGTGCCCATAACTCTGTTCTCCTGATGAGGTGAAGAGACAGCCTGCAAAAGCACCTTGAACCGCAAAGTGCTGTAGAGCAGGATGTTCAAAGCTGGGAGTCCTGAAGGCTTTGGAAAACTCCCGCTATGTGTCTGCCTTCACTCGCATCTGAGCAGCCTGGCCCTACGTGAACTGCCCAGAGGACGAGAGCAATGTGCTGGGCACAGGTTTCCTGCATTTCAGGCTGCTGCGCTCCGTGACGCAGCCTTAGGAGATGGGGGAGTCAGGCTTGAAGGCACGACACTTCACGTCTCCATCGGGCAGTGGAGCCCATCTCCATTCCACAAATGTGTCAGTTGAGGTCGGAGCGTGGTGTTTAAGGTTACATAGGCAGGCAACAACAAAGCTGAAAACTGAACTCCTCGTCCTGTTGCCTGTGCCTGTAAACCAGCCTGCTGCAGAAAAAGCTCTTCCCTTGAAAAGCAAACAGCCCCAAATTGACCCCTGCAAGATGGGAAGGTTCTGGGAGGAAGGGTCGACTCCCCACTGCAGATAAGGTTGATTACTGCAGTAACAATCAGGACTATATTTCTTTGAGATATACTGATACTTTGAGCACTAATTGCATAATTTCTTCTGCATTTTAATGCAAACATATGTAATTATTGAATATTTACATAATGAATGTAGCACACACTGCAGTGTTTCAAATGCCAAGCACCTGTAACACAATTCTTGCAACCTTAAGAGTTTGCAATCCTCTTTTTTTTTAACCAGAAAAAGATTAAAACTTAGGCCTTAAGCATCTTAATAACGCCTCTCAGATACATTTGGTCTCCACCACAACCAGCTCTCCTCTTCACCCCTCAATTCAAAACTCCAGGGAAACAAACGCCACGTACTGTGTGCTGTGAGGGAAATCGAGCAAGTGCGTCATGGTGACAAAAGGGTGGTTCAGAGTTTCAATGGGTGTTATTCTCTTATCTGCATCTATCGTCAACATCTTCTTTAACAGATCTATAAACTCCCGCCGGTCCGCCTTTTCCACCAACATATCGCTTCCTTCCAAATCCGTTGTCATGTTCACCTAAAGGAGAAAGGACAAGGGTGAGCGCTACAGGGAAAGAGCAGATGGTCAGGTCTCCAGCAAACTGTGTTTACTCCTCGTCGGAGCACATGCCCTGCAAGCCTCCCTGTCTACAGGGGTAGTTGCTGAAGTCACACGGCAGACTCCGCGGTGGCTAGTCATCTGGCTTGTGCATGTCACATCTCTAGACAGACTGTTAAGTGTTCAGCTCGCTTGGGTCAATGGCTAATGAAACATTTAGTCACCCTCCACTGAAGATGAACAGCTTCCATGTGGTAGCAGGCAAGCTCTGATAATCAGTATATTTATCATATAAAGGACTGTGCTATCAGATGCTTAACTATGTGTCCTGTGAGCAAGAAATATATAAAATAAATAAAAATTGTCGGTAGGTTTATGAGAAACATCCCATTTGTGTATCAGGTGCCAGGAAAAAAAACCTGTTATACTATTTCATCCATTTGCAGTCTCCCCTGATCTCAGTCCCCCATTTCTGCATGTTTGCTTGTGAATGCTACAATGCCTAGACTTTGCTAGCACAAACTCCAGTTGCAGGAGCGGTTATGCTGGAATTAACTTTCACAACCACATGGAACTGACACAGTGAATTAGTACTCCCCATTCCCCCAGATAGCCACGTTTCACAGAGAGCGTGCTCTTCTGCGGCCACGGTGACTATTTTCAATGTCACCATTTTACAAATGGAAATATTAAAGCACAGAGAAGTAAGTGACTTGCCAGCAGTCACACAAAGGAGCACTGGAGACATAAGAGAAAACGCAGGATTTTGCCACTCAGAGATGTGACTTAGCCATTTTCCAAGACTGCTTTACTACTGCACATTGAGCCCACATGCCCCTATGTGCAGTTTCCCCTACAACGCAGCACATGATGAGCTGATTTGTTAGGCATAATCCTGGTATTTCTCAGGAGCTGGCACAAGAATAGAATACACAGAGAAATCATGTAGTTCCCCTTTCTTAGCATTGTCTGAAAGCACGTGAGGCAGTCTTGCTCGCTACTCACCAATGCTCTTACCTGTGCCATATCATCCAAACAGTTGAAAATATACTTTCTTGCTTCCTTCGACTTAATCCCCGTCTCTGCCTCATGATCATCTGGTGTCTGCTCAAAACAGGAGACAGGCATTGACCAGAACTGCCCTGCAATCAGCTGCGGGTTATGTGCCACTTCCAGCTTGTGCCTTATCCTGCCCTCATCAGAGACCACTGTGTCTCTCTTGACTGACCAGGTAACATTCACACTATCTCTGCTATGGTTATATGACAGCTTTTGTGTCACAAGGTGATTTATCTGTTCTTTTTCACTTCAGAAGATCCTTGCAACTACGGTGGGAGTCCCAAAGGTCTCTTACACCCACCCCAGCATGAGGCTCAGCATCCCATCCTTACAGCCAGAAGCCCACTGGCCTCTCTCCTTGGGGACTGAATGCAGCCAAACACGCTGGTAAAAGAGACTCAGGGCTCACCTGCATTACTAGCAGGTTTGATTGTCAGAATTAAAATGCTTCCCCCCCCCAATGAGTTAGACACTAGAGCAAAGTCTGCCCAGGGTGCGTTTCATTTAAACTACACATCAATTCATTGACTACTTAGAGGGAGATTTCCAGGTCGATTCCAGATTTAAATTTCCCACAAAGCGCTGCTAAGCAGGTGGGCTAAGGGCTGCAGACTTCAGGGATGGCAGTTTTACCTCGGGCTATACCCAACCCAGTGTCTGTGCCGCATTGCAAAAAGCAGAGACTTAGGCTCTGAGGTGACCTGAATGTCTGCTCACTTCCAACCAACAACTGCACGGTAAAAGAAACAAGGGAACGTCTTCCTACCTTCAGCCTCCACAAAGGATACGGTGAGTCTGTATCCCTGTTGAAAAACCTCGTAGTCTTTGTCCCTGCACTTAACAAATACTCTGCTGGTAAGCCCTGTGTCTGTGAAATATAGCGAATCTGTAAGAGAAGGATGAGAGGTCACTGTTGATCCTGTGAAGATCTCTGGAGGTCTTCCTTGAAGGAGGGCAGGAGGCATTTAAAACAATAGAACAAAGAAAGAAAGAGAAAATGTAGCACGTAGTTAGACTTCACCAAAAAAAACCCCAAACAACCCAGTGCAAGGAATGAGAGGAAAGAGAATTCCCATACAGCATCCCTCCATTTATCACGTACGTGACTGGAAACTCACCCTTACAGTACAGATAAAGGGAGGACAATCCCTAGGTTTTAGAGGTCAAAGAGGAAGACCCACACAGAGATTTCAATGGGGTGTTTCACCTCTTTGCACCTTTTTATGTCACGCTCTCCTCTCCAGGAGTTAATTTCAACAATTTCATATTTGCGCTCTAACTTCTGCTGTTTTCTCCCCCAGCTGAGCGCACAGCCTTTCCTAGGAGCAGTCTGAAGTTCAAAACAGAGGACTACGAAGTGACTATCTTTGAACTTAGATGAAATATACACTCAAACGAACTGACACCCTCATGGTATGTGAAGTACTTCACCTCTACTGCCTACACGACTTCATTTGTTATTTGGGTTACTTCCATGAGTATGACCTCACTGGCACTCGCACAGCTAAAAGATACTATGCATGTGTTTCCAGGATCTCAGACTTTAATTTATTTATTCAAAGGAGAAAGGGTCTGTGATTACACAATTAGAGACCCATCTCACACACGCCTGGGGTGCCACACGAAACCTTAACTTTGGCATCTCCTGACTCCTGAATATTTCACTCTGCAGAATTGCTGCAAACTCTGCAAAACTACTAAAAATAGTCATCTACTCCGGAAAGTGTTTTTGAGAGAAGAGACAGAGCAGGGTAAAAAAAAATAAAAAAAAACAAAGGCATAAAAAGCAACTATGGTTTCAAAGACTTCCAAGCACTCAGGACCCGGTTCACTGAGCACAGCTTGCTCCACTCTGCGGCTCCTTAGGTCCATCGGAGCTCATGCACCTGAGAAGCACCAGGATCCTACCCGCAGCCCAGCACCAGTGCAGGGCGACTCAGGCTGCAGCGAGGGGCCAGGACCAGCCCCTACCCCTTTCCCAGCTCCCCAGGAGCCCACACCATACTGCACCAGTGGAAGCTTTGTGCTGGGCAGTTAAGCTGGGCAGGCAGGTATGGTGATTTCTTTTTCAGCTGTGTGTTTTACGGCTTTTGGGGTGCAGCAGGGAGGAGAAAGAAATCTACTCTTCATGCTTGGTATGTGATTTTCAAATGCTTTTAAGTTTTTCAGCTACGTCTGATTTCCTTTGGAGCCACTAATGGCCCTGCTCTTCTCTGCAGGTTATTTCCCCTGCCAAATTTCACCTTTAAAGCTCTAACTAAAAAAATACTAGTTACAAAAGAAGAGTCGAAGAAACATTTTCATATATGAAAAACTTATTTATTACCCTGCTCTGTTGTTTTTTTGTTTGTTTGTTTTTTCTCCAGAAGAAAAAAGACCCTTTTCAGGCTGCATTTGCAGACAGCTAAGATCACCCTGAAGAAGACTATGGGAATGGAAAGTGTTCTGTAGCCCTGCTTCTAGCAGCTGCTGCGCTATCAGTTTTAGGACTACAAAAGGAACATAAAAGCCTATAGGGAAAGAAGCACGACAGTTTATATTAACTGGAAACCCACACCACTGTGAATTTTCTCCTTCTTGTCATTGCTTTTAATATGCACCCTTGCAAAAGGGATTATGAAACGCAGTAGAGATCGTGCGGTTTCTTCTAACAAATAAACCTTTATTCAGTCCTCGTTGTTTCAGCAGAGAAAGGGTGCCTGCTCTGCTCAGTGAGGAGAGACAAGTACAGAGCTCTCCAGTCAACGGCAGTGTTGACTCTTGATTGAGATTTCACTTAGGCAGTCAGGTCTTAAAAGCCAGCATACCAAACAGCACGCTGGTTACCTAGAATAAATACCCCAGGTGGATAATGGAAAAAGTTGACTTGGGAGGGTAAGAAACACACATCCCCTGTTAGCAAAACAGAAAAAGTTGGCATCTGTTCACTCTGACGAGAGAAGGCAGAAACACCCGTGCACTTACCAGCACCCAGGGCAGTATCCGTACCCACCTGATCGTACTCTGAAGCTCCCGGGTACAACGGCCAGCCCAAGAACAGCTCTGCAATGACACATCCCAACGACCACATATCGATTGCTTCACAAAATGGTAAACCGAGGATGATTTCAGGGGCTCTGCAAAGGAAGAGGTGAGAAAACATCAGCAATGGGAGCAGATCCACTCGGCTGGCGTAGGGAGGCGATGCTCACGAAGCTGCCGGCTGCCAACAAGTGTCATTGCTCCCACCGAGCTGAGGGACCCAGCAGCCACCGGCAAAGCGTCTGCTAACCAGGCATGAATCGGTGAATAGTTATCCTTGCAGAGGAGTCCTCTGGCAGCAGTTAGCCAAGAGACAGCCCTACGTTTCGCAGCAGTTTGCAACGGGGAGAACTACCATTACTTTCATTTGGCAGGTGAGAAAATGAAGCACAAAACAAACGTTGTGCGTTCAAAACCACCCAATTAAGGCCCCCACTCGAGGCTCTCGGGCCCAGCTCGCCGTCCCGTGGAGAAACCATGCAGGCTCCCTGCGGTGAAGCATCCTCCGTTCACATAGCTCAGCGGGCTTCACAAACAGCCAGACATTAAATAATCATTACAGGACTGGTATAAAAGGATTACTGACTTTTTAAACAAATGGATGTAACCATAAAACAGAGAAATAACATAATTAGATCTATTAGACATAAGCTTTTTCCTCAGGAGGAAGTAGCCACAAAGCCTTCACTTCCCAGCCTGTCCCAGGCACCTCATTAGATTTCCTCTTCCCTTCCAGCCCACACAGCCAAAATGCAGCAGCACTCTCACTACGCATTTACTGCCGGCTTCAGGAGATGCCCACTGAGGCACCTCTGCTCAGCGAATCTCAGTGTTAGCCCTGCCGAGGAAGGAGAGGACAAGGCAAAAGCTTTGCTTCGGCTCTCCAGGAGGATCCCCGGCTGGAGCACGGAAGAGACGCCCAAATAAGCAAGACCAGCCTCAGCTCAGACTTCCACAGGACCTTAAGGTGAGGGTCATTTCACCTTTCAGCCAGGTAGAAGCTGGTGTCAAATCTGCCAGGTACTGTGCAGACTGTGCAGTCAATGGAGAGACACCCTCCCAAGGGGGATTTGTCCCACTGTCTTGGGATGGTTTGAATCTTTCTTCACTGAGGCTAGACAAGCTTCCTCAACTCCAGTGGACAAAGTGAGACAAGATGAATCCTTCCCTTAGCATCCCAAATGCTTTGCATTTCAAAAGCAACTTCTATGTGGAAGAATCAAAGCATCTTACAAATACTGAAACCCACCTCCGCACACAAACACCTTCCTTACTTTCCCTACCTCAGCCCAAACTTCCACATGCAGTTAAGTGCCATAGTTCCTATTCTACACAGGGATCACCTATGGCTTCTCTCCTGCTCTTCTTGCAGATCTTGCAATGCTTCTAAAGCCCCAGCTTCTGGAGCCAGGTGATGTACAACAGAAAGAAAAACTTACTTTCCCATACTCCTCTAACTATTAAATAAAAAGAAAAAAAAAAAAAAAGGCAGAAGACAGCTAAAAGAACGGAACACACGTTGCTTCAAAACTTTCATCATTTTAAAAACAGCCTTGGGATTTCTCAGGCCCTGATGCATATTTTGGGAATGCCCAGGGTTGACTATTGAGCAAATCAAGTGCCACCATCCAGAGCTGGAAATAGAACCCATGGTTCCCAGTTTCCCATCTGTCATCAGGATAAGATCTGACACTAGTGAGATCATACTACGGATTACCAATTGCAGTGGAAAATATTATGTTTTAATCACGCCATTACATAGTCATGTGAAGACAAGTCTTTAGCCAAGAAACCAAGCAAAATGGCTAATTTTTTCCAAAGAAACGAGCAAAGGCCCTGTAGCAAGAATCCATGCCCCATTTTCAGTCCGCAAACGGAAACCCCAAAATCCCCAATTTTGGGTTGACTGGTAATGATAAAAGCCCCAAACTATCTGTTCTCCAACCAGCAACGCAGAACGTAAAAATTATGGGAAATTCTGGGATGTTAAGCTTAGGATGCTTTGTGCCAGTCCCACAAAAAACATGCCAGAAACTTAAAAAGTGGCTACCTTCAGCCCTCCTAGCTTCATCTGTGCTTGTTGTTCTCAGACCCCATTGCTCTTTAGCCCATCGTGACAAACTTTTTATTCTAGCATCAACCTCTCCTTAGGAACAAGGGGTTAATTTTCCTCCTTTCCTCCCCATTCCGTCATCCCTGCACACTACTCGACACCTAGACAAAATGCAGAGAGAAAAAGACAGCTATGGTGACCTGAATCTCATTACTATGTAAATCCTGCATTCAAAGCCATCTGCCTCTCCCTGTCTGCCTTCCACATTGTGAACGAAACATCCCTGGTCACTAATGAGAGCTCAGCCACGCATCGCCTGAACTTCAAATCCCTCCCACTAACTCAAGTGGAAGGAGCAGAGGGGTGGACTATCACTGGGATATTCCCAATGTGATTTTGTGTAGAAACCTCCCTGTTCATAAAAATCGCTCGCACTGCTGTCATATGCAGCACACACCTCCTCCCCTCTCTCCCCACACTTATGCTGCCAACACCTTCCAGACCCCTGCAAGAAGGGATGACCTAGAATTTGAAGCTCTAAAATTTCTAATTTTTTTTCTCGTGAGTCTTCAGCTGTCCAGTGGGTTTTCCTTAAAGCTCCAGCTTCTGGAGTGCAGCAATTAGGAGAGTATTTCTTTTTCATACACAAAAGAAGTTTTGCACCTCTGCTGTTCGGAAGAAAAGCACAAAACCAGTGTCCATACCATTTAAACACATAAAAGGCAACTAAATGGAGCACCATTCATTATTTTAAACCAAACTTATTGTTATAGGGAGGGGAAGTCTATCATTATAGGCTGGGGAGGTGGTGAGATAGTTTTATTTTATTTTGCTTTTTTGAAAGCTGGTATTCGCATTACTCAATCAAGCCTAAACATTAGTTGCAATCTTTGCCCATTCAGCCCCAAACAGATGATAATTTTGGAACAGCAATGAGAAGCCCTGCGAGAGGGGGGCCAGATCGAAGCGAGACGGTGCCCTATGTACACCACAGCCGGCATTCACTGCGGCTTTCTCCCAGCCCTGCCTTCGCATCACGACTGCGATTTTTCCATGGAGAAGGAGTAGCCCTAAGACAAAAAGATCTTGCTAACTTAATTAAGCAGTCATTAAGACACCACAAGAACAACAGGTATCAGACACCACACAGGCTTCCAGATCTTCAGCTAGCAGATACCTCCCGTTGGCCGTGTAAAAGAGAGAGCTGGAGTTACCCCAGGAGGAGCAGCAGTCTGCCTGCCTGCTGGCACTCTGCTAAAGGCCAACGCCACGCGTTTTGGTGGAGGATGCTACAAGTTCTGTAATGAAACAACTCGTCCACTGATGAAATGCCTTCCAACCCTCTATCAGCTGGAAATTGCTCTGTATGCTCAGTTATGGATGCATAGATCCTTCTGCATACAGACCTCTAACACGTGGAACTCCTCTCTTTCTTAACATAAACACGTCAATTTTTTAAGACAAGGTGAGATCTTGACTTCAATCACACATTGTGGCACGGAGTTCCACAGGCAACCTTCTGCTTTCAATACCATCTTAACTCAGCTGTTTAAAGCCTGATTTTCCTTCATCGGGTTTAAATTTGTCACCTCTCACTTCATCTTCACATGGATTGGCCTAGAGGTGAAGACGGAAGTGCTCGAATCACCTTTCTTTTAGCACAAGCTATTTTTATATCTCTGCCCTGTTCTCCCTTGTTTGCGGCAGCTTCTGGCTTCTCAGTGTTCCATCCCATGGATGTTTCAATTCACTTGCACCGCCTGGCCCTACAACTCCTCTTCCTGGCACGACTGCTTGGAGACAGGCTGAACAGACCTAGAAACAGTTAAACATGAGGATATTCCCCAGACTTATTTTACACTATTTGCAGAATGCTTTCACGTTCCAGTCTTCCCTGAGCCTAATATTTTGTTTGCTTTTGGAGTGACACAAGGCATTTCAGCAGATGTTTTATCTGGGAGATCCTCTGAGACACACAGTCCTTTCTCCAGAGGAGCTGCAGTTAATTTAGGACATAGAATTATGTAGAAATAGTTCGTTTTTCCTCTTCCAATGTTTACTGCCTTTCAGTACTGCACTGATCTGGCATAATGTTGTCTGTAATCTAGATCAAGTCCCTTAAATGTTCCTCACACTTTTCTGCAGCCTAACCCAAGCAGGTATGTGGTATCTGCACACTTAAGCACTTCGCTGCTGGTCCACCACTTTTTACAGATAATTAATACATTAAATAACTCTGGTCCTAAAATGCGCACACAGTCCACTCCACAACTGACCTTTTTATTCCTAAAAGCGCTCAGATTTAGCTCAGCAATAAGAATGGTGTAATTCTCTTTTCCAAAGGGAAAGAAAACATTTCCATGTCTTAGCCAGTGCTTATGTGGGATTTCTCAATTCTGCAGCTGGTAACACTATTAACAGGGGAAAATGCCCTATTAAAGTGTACACATCAGAGTATTGCAATTATAAATCGGAAAGACGATTCACATGGCAGTAGGTCCTCCCAGAACAGCGCTGAAGTCTTCAGCAGATCTCTCCATGACTGCACAGGGAAGTGTTTTCTGTACCAATAATACTGCTTGTTTTAGCACAGACTCACCAAACCTTTCCATTGTGGTGGGGATCTTGTGTGAAACCACACAAAGGCAGCCCGCTGCTAGACACCTTGGTACGTGCAGGAACATCCCCATTTACTGCTCTCTGCCAGTTTTTCGGCTGTGCATCCACAACACCCTCGGCACAGTAATTCCAGCCTCCAGTTTGAGAGACACGGAGGGAAAACAGCGAACTTCACCCTCCTGTCCTTCCTCTGCCTTTGATGTCTCCCAACGAAAGGCACTGCCCTTCTCTATGTGCGGGCACAACCTGCTCTACAGCTCACACAAATCTCACCAGCATAGACCAAAGATTTAGAAACTACTCACCACCAGCCTGGGAGAGACTGAAGAGCCTCACCAAGAGCCTGGATCTCCAGGAGAGAAGCAGCCAGCCCATCCCCACCTTCCCACACCTCCGACCCCTTTCCCAGACCAAATTGCTCCC